GGAGGGGGACTGGATTTTGGGGCTAGTCACCTGGGCTGCAAATGAGGGGGGATTTTCGGCGGGGAAGGAGTTTTGGGAGCTGCAATTATTTTTCTGTGGGTGGGGTGCCTTTTTATCTGTGGCAACCTGACATTTGTCGGCGAACGTGAAAGGGCACACCGACATTTTACCGAAAACAGAAACATTTGTCGCTGTCTGTCAACCTGAGTCTCGGTTTTTCTTCAAACTGCACATGAAAGAAAGAAATGGATTCTATCCTATTTTTTGGCGTGTCAATACTAAACAGAACAAACTAAATTGTTTAGTGAATGTGGATGATTTTTAAATTAAGATAAAAATATACGTTCACTTCTTATATGTTTATAATAAAAACGTTTCACTAAATATTTTCTCTGCGTGTCGTAATCAAGCTCCTTCGATCGATTGGGCCGCAAGAGCCGCTGCCACTTCGATGCGCCACTCGGCGTGCCAAAATGTTAAATGGGACAAGACAAAGGCAAGACTGGCCAAGGATTTCGGATAGTTGGAGGGGTTTCTGAGGAGCAGGAGGGTTACCAAAAAAGAGTGGGTTATGGAAAGGGGGGGGCGGGGGGAACCGGCCACTTGCCACACCAGCCAGACACCATTCGCCTAACCAGCCGAGACTTCTCTCTTGCCCGGCCAAATGTCAGGAAAATATTGCCAAAGAATCACAGCAAAAAAATAATAAGAAACAAAAGTGAGCTCCGAGAAACAAAGCTGCATTCCACGGTGGCACAAACATTTGCAAGACAAAATGGGTTAGTTCACTGGCAAAATCGGTTATTATTGGTTATTATTTGGGCATATCAAGAATCCTCCTTGCAAGAAAGTACGTGTTTAACAATAAAATTACTACAGAGTTTGAACTCTGACCTTTGTCCTTTGAATTAAAAAACTATAAAGGATAACAATGAGTCGACTGCTTTTTAAACAAAAGCAAATCGTGTGGCCTGGCAAATTGTTTGGCACTTTGTTTAAAATGTTTTTGGTTTGCGCAATTCGCAGGCCTCCAAGAATTGACCCTTTGTTTGGTAATTTCACCTTGTTTATTGTTGCCAAATTAGTTGAGGGTTTCTTCTATTTTTATTTTTTTTTTTTTTACGCTCATTATCTGTAGGGCTTTGTTTGGCAGTTCAAGCTGGAATCGTCTGTTAAATTCTTTTGAGCCATCAATGCTACAAAATCCGAAACGAATGTTGCAAGTCATTCGACGTTTTTGCAACGATTTCGCGTCGAATTAATTTGAATTGAATCGATCATCATAATTCAAAAGAATCGATCGATTCGAATGCTGCTGATCAATCCGATTTGGCATTTGGACACCGATTGACAGCCGCCCCACACACAGATTGTAGATCTTTGATCTCGGATTTAAGATCTGAAATCTGAGATCTGTGATTGCCGATCGCATAATAAATGTCCTACGACTGCCAAATGCCATCGAAATGTCAGTGCAACTTGGTCAAATGGAGAATCGATTTCTATTCTCGATCACAAAGTCAAATTGACAATTTTTGTTATTGAGCTTACATGGATCGCATACTAACCTTGACTTTCAAACCAAAATGTCAGCGAGGGGAATGACTTGGGCATGCAAAGCACATAATAAAATACAAAAATAAATACAAAATAAAGACAATAGTCAGTAAATAAATGGACACACAAAAGAAGCCAGCGAAACAGAAAAACATTCGCAGTCAATCAATCGGACAAGCCGTACAAATTGTACCTACATTTGAAACGGATCAAACGACAGGGGCTTAATGCTTATCAAGGGGGTGGGGCTTTTCAATCGATGAACTCAAGGCGAAAATTATTAAAAATATAGTACTCTTTACCGAAGTAGAAAATCATATCGTACAAATTTTAGATTTTGAGCCTCAGTAGATTTTGACTCCTGCTCTTGCCAATTTTTTTTCAATTTCCAAAAATTTCTTCATCATTTTATATCTTCCATTTCTCTGTTTTTCCGACATAGAATTTGGCTGTTTTTTTTATACCCCCATTCAAAACATTCGGACCTAAGACTCAAATTGAAATCCAGACAAACAAGCACAAACAAATTGCCAACGATTACGATTAAAGTGTTTATTCATTTACCGTTTAATTAACCCGTTCTGGTAACTTATCTATTGCCCCGAAATCACCCAGATGTCTGTAGATCTCTTTGGAAAGACCAATGTCCCTAGGTTTCGGAGTTCATTGTGATTGATTGATGGATAAGACGATAAGACAGCTCGAAAAGGCCCACTTGAAAAGCTCGAAAATCAATGGCCCGGCGTCCATTGTCCATTTATCCGGCTGAAATAAATACACGGAATCTGACGATTGAGGGGCTACTATAGTTTGGCGCACCCAGAAACCGGCAGTTCTTATGGAGATCAATTTGGGCGATAAGATTAGAGGGCGGCCAATTGAACCGATCTGAACTGAGACACACACCAAAACCAAAAGCAAAGCAAAAACGCCCACGCCAGAAGGCCCAGACACAAATTATGTCTGATTTTTTGGAGCAGAAGTTGGCCAAAACGGAGCCAGAAGTTGAGGCCAAGAAATTCCTCCACTCAGCACAGTGTTCGAAAACAAGACTATTATCGTTTACCAATTGTTCGTATTCACTGAATTAGTTCCGGATCTCGCTTATTATTACTTTTTATTTAAATTGTTCCTAGATTTGGGTTTTGAATACCAGTAGATATACGGATAACATTTGAATACAAATAACATAACACAAAGCCATTTTGCATAGCCATTGAGGCTTGTTCCTATAATTTCCCATTTCTGCTTTTTGGCTTAACATTCGTTGGTTTTTCATTCACTTCAACCTAGGGCTCTGCCGATATTCCGTCGACAGTTTCCTTCCTGCACAAACTGTGAGCTGTCCGCACACTTCCCGGAGCCACTGTCTCCCGAGGAATATGTGTGTTGGCGTCGGCCGATTGGCTCCAATTTGTTTCCCATTTGAACACATTCATGTGGCATGTGGCCCAAGCCGAAGTCGAAGTCGAAGTTTCTGCGCGGATCGTATGCTATACACAAATAAGGAAGCAATTTGCTTCCCTCTCTTTTTCAGCCACAGACTTCAAGTGAGGAAACGAAGCGAGGCTCAAGTGAACTGGACAAAAAGCCGAGCTTCAGACTCCGAAATTCGCAGACAAATTATGCGCAACGCCAACGCAATGTCAGCAAAATAATATTAAAAAAAAAAATAAATAAAGTAAAATAAAGGGTAAAAAACCCATGAGGTACGGGGCAAAATTGGGCAATCGAGGCAAGAATTTCTGCGTCTGGCAATCGTTTTCAATCTCTTATTGTTTATTATGCACGCCAAGCGACACCTTTGCACTGATTGATTGATTGACGGATTGAACGAACAATAAAACCCGTATATAATCCCGATCCTGGGGATATATCTTTTGCTGTCACACGTCAAGGACGAAAATGACGATAATGTGTACCACAGAATGCATAAATTTGCATATAAAATGAGAAAAACTGCAAATCATTGAAGCCAAATCGTCCAGACACTTAGGAAATAGGTTAGTCTGTTAGAAATACAAATATTTTGTACAAATATTTTATTAAATAAATACTATAACTTTAAAAGAAATCAACAAAAAGTAAACCCCAAACAAGCAAATAATTATAAAGACAAAACCTTTTAGATAGTTCTTAAATATAAAACTGCTTTTTTAGGTCCATAGTTACTCATTTCCCTGCTCCAAAAATCGTATTTAGACAAGTTTTTTTCTTTAAGTGCAACTGCAACAACAGCTGCATGTTGTATGTTGCCCGTTGCCATCGGCAGTGTTGCTCTTCATATTTCAGCAGCGCAAGTCTGTCGCCATCCATTGGAGTATACTTTATATTTTTATTTTTGTTTCTTTTTGGCCGCCGCTTATCGTGATTTGTAACAAAATGCTGCTGAATAATTTTCGGATTTTTTCTTGTTATAAATTTTTTGCAGCAGCATTTGTTTTGTGTTTTTTTTTTTTTTTTTTTTTGCTGCCAGCTTTGTTTGCATTTCAATGTCTCTTTAAGGCCTTTGCGTAAATATTTGCCATTTTAATCCGAGTGTCTTTGTCGACATGGGAGCTTACCACGAATTTTAATGTTTAATTGACCCATTACGACAGCTCATCCGATGATCATCTGAAAACAAAACCTAATGAACTTCCGTTTTGCCTTGGCCAAGTCTTCAAACTAAGCTGGGAAAAAACAAAAAGAAAACTGCTAGTGGAAAAAGTGACTATCTTAACGATCAAATCTTTAGTTTGTTGTAAAACGAAGTTGAACTCGCTTTGAATATTGCGAGGATGAAGTGGCATCAATTTATTTTGGACTTGGGATTGCGGGACTCAAAAAGAAAGTCAAAGAAATAGCCTTGGTCTATTATTTTTCACCTGGAAAAAAAATAAACCTTCTTTCCATCGTGGATCTCGAAAAACAGACTGCTGATTGCCTCTACTTACCCCATAATCAAGTTATTCGTGCGCATGTCATTCGTATCTCTTCATCTAAATCAAGTGGCGAACATTTGACATTGCCTGCATCTGATTCGCGTTAGCGGATTGCATTAGATTGCCAGAACAAGACAAAGCCGAGACCGATTCAAAACTGCATCGCAGCAGTAGTAACAAATTTGCATTTAATGGTGATCATAAAGGTTTTCGATGGTGCGGTAAATGGCCGCAATTAACAGGCATTTTTAGCATTGCCCACGCATCGTTGATGCCTCGAAATTGAATATCACAATCAAGTTCTCCCAACGCTCAACTGCCGCCTGTCTTCTGTCTTCTGTCCCCATCTTCTGGGGTCTTCTGGGGTCTTCGGCCTTCTGTCTTCAGTCTTCTGTATGCTGCAGTGATTGTTGTTTTAATTAACGAGCTCAACTCGAAATCAATTGCTTTCAAAGCCATGCACCACTGCACAGTGAGAAAGTATTGTATTCAATATATTTTACAGATTAAAAAAGGATATTTATTGAATTCAAGAATATATTACTGCTTTCAATCCAATTAAACATATTTATTAAAGGTTAAAGGCAGTTAATTTGATGGTCCTGCGGTAGTTGCCTTTGAGTTATCCCCACTGCCTTTTGGCCAAATAGAAACCAGCAAGATCACAAGTAAGATTACTACTATTATGCCCAGAAAGCAGATCATTTTTACGTGGGCCCACCAATGCTTGCGTTTGAGTCTCCCAGACTGACGAACAAACTGGGAGGCACCCAGTTCCAGCTGGTCAGCTCGTTCCGATAGTTCCGATAGCGCCTGGTCGCGTTCCAGGACTTTCTCCACGTTCGCCCGCATAATCCCGACCACCTCATCCACCTGGGCTTGGGTGTCCAACAGCCTTCTCTCAGCATCGTCTTGGGCTTTTGACCGGACGGAGGACTTGAACTCCGTCAATTCCATCTCGATATCCATTTCCAACATTTCAATAGAACAGTTGTGTGTAGACGTCAGACGATAAAGAAAATAAGTATATTTTTAAAGCCTCCTTGATCCCCAGTGATCATAAAATTTGATTTGAAAATATAATAAATATATTGCCACCAAGTTTCTCTATCTGCTATTGCTGTTTTTTTTTCTTTCTGTTACCGATGGGGCTGATCTACTTGAGCACTTCGGCTTGGATTTCGTCTGTCTAATCTGGGGTCTTTGCGATCTGCTAGAGACATTGAACACGGCTGCTCCAAATGCTCAATACGGTTGCCAGTTGTGCCAGCTTGTTTATTAGCCCAAATGCGAGTGAGCCGCCGCACAGCATTCGCTTTTGGATAATTATTTATTAAGGTTTTACATAACGCAGCCATCTGTCTGTCCCTGTCCCTGTCCCAGAAAAAAACACACTACATACACTTTATTCAATTCAAGGTTGTTCTTGCATCGAACACCAAAGCCAGAGGTATAGAAAAAACTGCAGGTACACACGAAGAAACGACCAGTTACTTCGCACTGCCGCTGGAAACTATAAGCGAAGATTGAGACAAAAATGGTTTGGCTAGCAACTCGGTTCAAAAGTGGCTGTAGTATTTTTTCTCAGTACAGACTTAGTTACAGATGCAAATGCAGATACAGATACTTGTTAAGATGGAGATGAGCTTTTGTGTTTTGCCAGCTAATGGATAACGATATTATTTGTGTGAATGTCGAACATGTCCCTGAACTGTGAACTCTTCGTTTTGGGATCAAGATTTCGTAGTGTGCGCTGTCAACTCATTCCGGCTTGACGTCTTAACTTGAACACTTTTTAGCCCTAGAAATTTTTGTAAATTGTATACAGTGTGTAGCGTACCGTTTTGGACTATATTCATTTTGCGCAATCAAGCCGGCAATATGTCCCTCCTTCGCTGGCGAGATCCCAATGTCCTGCACACGTTGAACATTGTGCGTGGAATCCGGACTGGTGCCAAAGTCGCGAATAGTCCCCGCCAACGGAACAGACTACGCCGCCAGGCTGAAAATCGATCAGCCAGGACCACCGATAAGGCGGTGCCATTGCGTTTTCAGAAGTATCAACTCGATGAACACAATCCTGCGATAACGGCCATTCAGGAGCCCACTTCTTATGCGGAGTACATGGACTTGTTGGCCCGAATGCATGAAAAGCAGATAAAACTGGAGGAGGACGTTGTGCGGGAGGAAATGACAAACAAAAAGGCAAACCAGGAAAACGAAACACGATCCACAAACCAGATCGAAGCGAATAAGCCACCAAACGAAACCCCTTTGATTTTGGTAAGAACTCAGTTAAAATAGTTAAATAGTTCGAATATTATTGTATTATTAATACAATAAACAAATACTTAGTGCTTTGAGGATGTCATTGGACTGCGCCAGTTTTATATCATGGATGATAAGGAGAGCAATAGCAATGCATCAAAGATGTACGACGATGATGGGCTTTTACACGAAACCGAAAACGAAGATCTGGACTTGAGCCATTTGCAAATGTTCGAAGGCCGAATTCCATTGCTGCCACTCAATGATACCCGGGAAATCGAGGATTTTCCGGAGGACTGCGACTTTGAGGAAAACGGCAATCCGGACTCGAATCAAGGAAAGTGGGTTCGCCGCGTTATGGAGTTCCTACGTTTTCGACGGCTCTCGTAACAATCTGCTGAAATTACCTTAAATTTTGACTAAATCGACTCTTTTTTTTTTTTGCGAAATTTCCCATTAACCTGTGCTTTGCGGTCTGCGTTTTCACGCTTCAAAGAATGCGCAGTCATCTAGATAACAATCCTACTGGTCGGAGCCCGCTTAATTTATTTGCTCTGTTACCAAACCTGCTTAGCTTAGCTGCTCAAGTGGAATGCGCTACATCCAGACGCTAAATAAATATATATTTATATAGAACACAGGAAGTTGTTTTTTAAAGTTTAATTATTAAAAACGCCTTTTAACCAATGATAAGCTATTTTCTTATCTTCTAATTTCAACAAGAGTAACGATATGTTTTAAAGTTTTATTTATTTCATGTCTGATCCAAACTGCTTATTGAAAAAAAAGTGTGTCAATTGTTGTGCGACGATTCAAACGGTGACCATAGCAATATTGCATTTAATGTGTGTTAAGGCTGGTGTTTCGATGGTCGGGGCTCAGAGGTCGGGTGTACGAATCTCAGGCGAACCGCATGCACTTGGCCTTCTGGGTGTAGGTGACGGCACCGTACTCCTCCACAATCTGATCGATGGCGATCTTGTTGAGATTCTCCAGATAGAGGCGCGTCTTCCGCGACTGGATGATGTAGCTGATGACGTCGTGCATGTTGTCGAAGAAGAGGAAGCCGGCGGTTCCGCAGCTGAGGTCCAAGTATCGGAATCGATTGACGTCGCAAGTGCAGCCGTCGTACAGGAAGTAGATGAAGTCGTTGTTGTTGTGGTATCGGAAGACCACGTAGTTGCCCCACGGAGCCATCACGAACACCCGCTCGGCACACCGGAACCCGGCCCTGAGCAGCTTGCAGATGCTATCGTAGCACCCGTTTTCCGATCCCACCACCGCCATTGTTTCCGGAATGCGAAGCAGTGCCGGATAATGATTCGGCTGGGCCCGGAGGACGTCGTGTGGTCCACTGGACTCCGGGCAGGCGTCGAGCGGTTGCATCTGCTTCGGTGGTTCCGGACATGGCGGACATGGCGGCGCTTCGACAGGAGCCACCACAGCGGACTTCTTTCCCTTCTTTCCCTTTCCCTTTCCCTTGCCTTTTTTGCCCATAGCTGACGGGTTTCCGGTTCCGGTTCCTCTAAGGTCTTGTGACTACGGTCTACGGATTGTCTATATCCGGAATCTAAAGCTCGGACAAGTTTCAGCAATCGCCTTCGATCACTTGCAAATGGATAACGACGAGTCGACTGGCCTCATTTATGCCCGGACAGCTGAAAGCAACGAATAGGTTTCAATCTAAGTAGGCTGTGTGAACAACTTTAAATACATAAAACTAAAAATGAACTCAAACAAGAGGATCTCAGCGTAATAATCAGCCCTTTGTCAAGGAGTATCGCGCTGTACCGCGAACTCAATTAGAATTATCGTATCGAATAATCGATATCGGTATTATCGCTTGACTCACCGGAAACGCGCGACTTGAACCCAACACACACACTCGGCACTCCGTTTTTTTGTTTCACTATCTTTTCTTTTTTGTTGGCCGAAACGAAATTTTGAATCTGTCCGAGAGCGAATCGGTAAAATTTGGTCAAGATTTTTGGTGTAAATTTTTTTCCGAGATTTACTGTGTTTTTTTGTGTTCACCGACGACTCACTTCTGATGTTATGCCATTCGGCTGGTCGAAAGTAAGTTGTACATACTGACAGTTGCGGCAAAGTAACTTGATGTGAAAATATTACAAAATTGTTGGCTTTATGCTTAGAATCTTTACATTCGTGAATCAAATTTTTGGATGTATTAAATTGTCGTTTATACACAATGTCTAGACTCTAGAGCCCGGTCATCTATCCCTCTGTTTGCATATCTATCCATCTACCATAAGTGTCTGGCATCTCAAACTCGCTGCTGAAGCGCAATTCTGCGAGAGACAAGCGCAAATTAAGCAATTGCCCGCGGCAGCAACAGGCAGCTTAATTAAGTTGTGTTTGCCAAGGAGACACACCAGATATAAGCTATAGTACTACCATGCTATATGGCCAGACTGCAGGCACATATTCTTTGGCAATCAGGTGGGAAGAACGATTGCAAAAGGATCCTCTGTCGCGAAAAGTGAACGGCTGTCAAGGCAATTAAAAGTGTGCCCACTGTGATCTCAAGACCCTTGAAGATTTTCGGGAAAAGAGAAGCAAAAACATAAATGATTTTAAGCATTTTGGAAATATGGAAGTAATTAAGAGTTTTGGCGAGAGACTGCCCAGAGATTTGAGAACCTGTTGCAATGTGTTGCATTAGACAATAGTTCAGTGGATGAAGTGCAATTACCTAGAGCCCCCAGGTTTCGCACAGTGGAATTATATGCAGTCAGATATTTAACCCAAAAGCCATAACATAAAATAAATGTTGCGATTTTAGTAAGAAACAAAGCCGTTTGCTGAAAAATAGAAAGAGTTAACTAACCCATCGCCTGACATCCTCCGATATTTCACCGGGACTGAGTATATATTCGCACAAACACTTTTTACCACAGTGCAATTGGCATGCTCACATGCAAATCTATTGGGTTCCCCACAGACATCGCTGAATAAGCCAAAAATTACGCTCGCCTGCCTGATTTTTGGTCTAGCCAAGTGGTTATGCCTTTTTTTTGTGGCGTTTTGTTGGTTTTCGGGCTCGTGTTCCTTTGATTTTTCTGCTGGCTATTTTTCCACCTTTTTTGTTTGCCCAATTTGCGTCATTAATTTGTTTGGCGCTCTAATCAAACGAAGTCGGCGAGTGGCGTTACACGTACACGAAAAAGGCATAAACAAAAAATATCATTTATTTATGAAATAGAAAGAAATATTTTTCACAGAATGTTTAAGGGGTTACATGGGTTTCACGGTTTCAAAAAATCGACACAAAAAATTGTGTCTTATTAAATTCTATAACATTTCTAGAATATTGTCCTAAATTTTCAAGTTGATCCGAGTAATAGTCTCGGAGATACAGCCTTGAGAAGGTGGACGCTTGAGACCATTTTCATTGTCTCTTAAAACTTTAAACGCGTTTTTCTCAAAACTATGTTTTCAAAGTCGGTTGTCAAAATTTCTCGCAAACTACTCAACCGATCTTAATGAAATTTTACACAAGTATTCGAGATATCATTTACAAGGTATTGAACGAAGGATTTTTTTTTTTCAAGTACAACTATTTAAAAAAAAAAAAAATGTCGAGAAATTTTCATCGAAATTTGCATTTTTTTGTAAAAACGTCTGCCAAAAATCCAATTTTCATTTTTTTCTTTTTTCCTTCGTCCAATACCTAGTTTATTGTCTATACTGAAACACGTTTTTTTTATTTTTACTTTGGATGATCCTGAAAGAAGTTCTGCTGACAACGCGGAGGCACCTTTTTTCCGAGGGACTGCCGGAAATGGCGTCGTAATGGCCGACATTTTGATATTTTTTTTGAAAATTTCACAAAATCTTTATTAAATATGTATCTTTTAAATAATAAAAAGTTTCATTGAAATATTTCATTTTTTATATGCAAAAAAAATGTTTGAAAAAAGGCCGTTTTTTACCCGAGGAAACCCATGTAACCCCTTAAACCATCTTAGGTGTAAAACGAGTTTTACAACGTAAACATATACATTCTAAACACTTATTTAAGTGAATAAAACATATTTTTCTCCATAATAATGACCATAAGTAATAGGTTAACCCACTAACCAATAAAATAGAACTCACATGCTTTGCATAATTTCACGAGTCGAATGCTTCAAACGATGCCCAAATACAGATAAGCACGTGAAATCATGCTCTGCGAGTTATGCTTGGTATTTTTGTATTTTTTGCGGAGTTAGCATGATGATGACACCGCCGCCGTTGCAATTGCAACCACCACACATATCCAGTGGGTTCAGTGGGTTCAGCGCTGCCTTTTAGTGCTGCTCTCTGGTGGTTCCAAGCGAATCCAGCGGGGCACACTTCTACGAGTATTGCTTCATTCGAAAGAAACTCTTGGCTAATGGGGCAGCTTAACCTGTCTCGCCGGCAAACGTGAGTCGGCAGGTTTAGGAAACCCATATGGGGTTTTTTCTAAAATATATTTACACAAAATCGGGTGCTCATCTGTGGAGTTATATAACCTGTTGCCACAACGCGGGATCTAGGCAAACAATTACTAACAGCCGGCAATAAGCTTTTGTTTTTAAAAACTTTTTCCTGACTCGGAAAAATATCTAGATACAATTTATTTAAATAATTACAATCCTACTTCCCTTTGATTATAAATGTAGATAATAATACTCTGGAAAAAGATAAAGGTCTCCTTCCAAGTCCAACATATAATATATATGCTTTTAGAAAGACTATCTTTAAATTAATTAATTTTAGAATACAGTTGTGCATTATAAAATACAAACGAGTGCCTAAGTGTTTAAAGCAATGTCCATATATAAAAGTATAAAATTATAAAATATATACAAGCACCAAAATTTATTCAAATAATAACAATCCTACTTCCCTTTGATAATTAATGTAGATCATAAAAATCTAGAAATAGATTAGGTCTCCTTCCAAATCCAACATATATATTCCTTTAGAAAGACCATCATTTAATTGATTAATTTAAGGATACAGTTGTGTATTATAAAATACAAATGAGTGCCCAAGTGTATAAAGCAATGTCCATTGATAAAAGCTGGAGCTTTTTTGGCAACACATCGTGGCTTGAAGCTCGATAAAGTTTTTAGCTTACAAAGCTCCGCTTCCAAGCAGCGACAACTACCAACAAAAGTGCTTTAGTTCGAACATCAACGCTTTCTCGACATCACATAAAATTATGCTGAATAAGTTTGCCAGCTGAATATTTCGACTTGGGGAAATGACGCATAATTTATGCGGGAATATGTGGGTGTCTCCGCCCACCGCCTCAGCTTCACTTCCCCTCTTTTTTTGGCTCAAATGCATCCTCACTTGCAGCTGGCAAATGCAAAGCGGTTTTTCGACCGAAGACAGATGACCCATCCCATCCCATTCTTGTTATAAAAAATGGTAATACAGAGAGCAATCGAACGCTGCGATACTGGGACACTACAGTGCATCGAACTGAATGCCGACGCCGACAAGTCTGGGGCACGCCAAAAATAAGAACAAGGACCAAGTCATTGGGTCGCAAGCCGAATAAAAAAAATAAATGGCCAAAGAGCGAGGCAAAAGCCAATGGCGAACAACTCCCTGGCGCCAACAAATTTTTTATTGCAGCTCTCGAGTGCAAAGAAGGTGGTTTTTGGGTGGTGCAGGTGGTGCACCCGCTGCAAAAGTAAACAAAATGCAAAACGCCAGTTCACGGGGCCAGTCAAACAGAAGAGTAGAGTATGGTTTTCCAGGGCAGTCGAAAGGCTGGAGTTCCCCTTAAAAAACCGAAACCGAGACTCAATGCCTTATCCCAATTTGTACCTTTAAGTTTGGGCTGCTGGCCGCAAGTTTTACGAGTTTCCTGCTCAATGAAGTTGCCCCCTCGTAAATTCCAAAGAAAATATCCTTTTGCTGCTCTTTTCGATGACCCATACACAATGCCGCCCCCACATACTACACACAAACACAAGCACACACAGAGGTGTGATTATCTTTATATTGATTTAAAAACTTCTTTTGTTGGGGTCACAAAATCACTTTGAAGTACAATTACTCTCAATTAACAATGTAATGAAGCGCAATCGGTAAAGCCGGGGGATTTGCCCAAAAGCCCTCACGGGTATTGAAAACTTTTTTAAGTATATCGTTTGAGGTAAACTTTTTTCGGGGTGTGTAGATATCCGCAGTTTTATTTGTGTGTGTGCTGAATAACGAAATCTTAGAACTTTAAATCACTTTAATTGTTGCAAATTTAAAAAAAATAATTCGTTAAGATATTTAATTACTAAATGAAAATTATTATAAATACTCAGTTCAACCCAAAATAAATTAGAAACATATAACATACGCTATAAATAGCTATAAAACAAATCTTAAGTGCTTAGTCGCTCCTTTGATTAAACTAATTGTTTGGCAATCAGGCCAAATAGACAAATGATTAAATTGTGTTTTAGCTAATTGCCTCCTTTACATCGCTCTTTCCCGTCGGATTCAATCAGTTGAGCTAAATTGCCCAAACCAAATGCCTTTTAAAATTCCAAAACCGTTCGTGGCACCAGCTTGGATTGCGAAAGGGGATTTGTCGTGATCAAGTCGCTACATAAATATGACACTCGAAAATTGAAGGCCCCCTTCCCCCCTCTTTTGTTTAGGCTTGTCACATCTAAATGCAAATGATAAAGGGGCCAAATTGCCAGCAGGCTGTCTTGGGATAAGCAGGCGAGTTTCCTTGGCGTATGGTGATTGAAAATTCCACTTTTTTATTCGTTCGTTTGGCTGCGTGCAATTTGCGGTTTTTTTTTTCGTTTGTTTTAGGCGCGTGGAGATGCGCATAAAAAAATGTGCAAACAAAGAACTCGAAACGCACACGAAAACAAAAAAAAAAACCGCATGGAGAACTGCGCAAACATATCAATGCAAATCGTCGAGGGGGAGGGGATTCCAAGCATTAAAACTGGTCGGGAAAGAAGAGCAAATCCCATATCACTTGGCCAACATCATCGGGGATCCTTCTGCCCTACTCTGCCTGTTTTTTTTATTGCTATC